CTTTCAAATCGGTAGTTATTTGTTCATTGCCTTGCTTTCAAACTGTCCTCACTCATGAATGAGAAGAAGAGAAGGTTGAAAGGATTGTATTGTTAATTAGCTTTGTCAATATTCTCATTGTAGTTGGAAAACTGCACACAACACAATTGCTGGTGTTTGGTGTATTGATCTCCTTGATTCTGTACCGGGATGGCTATCAGTCAAGTTTAGCTAAAAGTTCTTGTTCGCAGCAAATATCACTTCTCACTACTTCCTTCAGTCATATTACATTCTAGGGCCCATCTTTTGAAACCTCTGCCACCTGCTCGACCAAGCTCAAGTCCGACTCAAAATTTGAATGAACATTGAATGCTGTTGTGCTTGGCTTAATTAGTTGGCAAACCAACTAAAGTTTACAGGTTCAATAGTGCAATATCCATAACATGTATACGGACAAAACTGTTAAGGAATCAAGATGATCTGTTCTCTTTTTATTCCATGTTGCAGTACTACTAGTTTACCTTCTTCTTTTGTTGAAAATTTGATGAGCTAAATTGATCATAATGGTTTGCTTTTTTTCTTTTTCTTTTTTTTTTGAGGCTGTAATGCTTTGCCTTATAATGAATTGCCACAAAGAAAGTGTTGCAAGTTCCATAATGTAATATTCATTAAGTGTGGTCAAAGAAAATTGTCAAGGAATTAAATCCATTGGTGATTTACTGTCTTTTGATATCATGTTGCAGTACTATTTTATCTTTTATTTCTTGTTGATTAGCATAGATCAACCGTTCATATTGTTGTGTTTTATAATATCAGTGAAGAAAATGTTACAATTGTTTCTTAAAATGTTGTAGTTATACTTCGCTCGGAAAAAATTTTCATCCATATTAGCAATCTGAAAGTTCTCAATATAGTAAAGTATAATATAAGGGAAGTTGGTTGTAGCTATGCAGGAAATTATTTGGTGTTGTTTTGAAGTTGAGGTTCTTTATCATCTTATGCATAGGCACAACGAAACCTATGCAACCTAAAGAAGTAGATTGTTTGTGTACTTATCCAACGTGTATCTATTTGTTGTTTTAGATATATGTAGCATTTATTTCCACTCTGCCTAGGAACTTGAGTTTATTGGGTGTCCAAATGTTGTTGATTACAGATTATATAGGATCCAACTTCTGAATTGAGACTGCCTGCATATTTTGTCTTTTCTGGCCTCTGTGATCTTCCATTTTCAATCTTTTGATGGTTATAGCTAGGGTTGATAACCTATAACCCTCCTGTGGCTTAGTGTTGTACCACATAAATTGCATATGGTTTTGAAATGGCCATTTTATCCCTTTGAATTAATGTATATATATATCAAGTTTTAGGTTAAAGTTAATGATCAAAACTGAAAAGTCAACATTTTTTACATCTTATCACAAAATGGCAAACAAAGCCTGTAAAATATATTTTTTAGGTTTTAGAAATAGAATAAGTCTAACTCTTGCTTCATTGGAGATGGAAAGAAAAATTACATAATCATCCCACCAAGGTCTTCTATGTATTCCAGTTTCTGTCCTCATCCTACTTAGTCCCTAATCAGCAGCCATGCAAGTCACTCAACTTCATACCAGCAATATCTCCTCTGACTCAAAGTAGGGATATGCCCGGATTTTGGACCATTTTAAGAAATCACTGTCGGCATACTCTGGAACTATCTTTGGAACAATATTTTGTGGGCTGGACTGTCTCAAGACTACCTACCTACCATCAATCCTGAATTTTCATTGGTGGACTTTTTGCTTGAAAATTAGGATTTATGTACTTTATGTACCTTAATGTGCCATGCCCCTAATTTCTCAACTTGTATGACTGGTGCTTGGGCACTCTCTTGTTAGTGGTTGAGGTGTATTACCATTGTGAATTTTGTATTTTTTTCCTAAACGTAAACAAACTGATGTCATCCTTGAAGGTTAGTTTTGTGGTTTCATTTGAGTGACATATCACCTTTCCCCATAAGGACTGGGGTGTGAAAGGCCCACCATGACAACCATGTATTGCATGATTAGACCAGGCTTGACATGATTCATACATTTACCTGGGAGAATGTGATTTAGGAAACTTCTAAAGTTTTGGTTGCTGACACCGTCAGGAAAGGACAAATTAGTAACTCATGTAAGTTTGAGGAATGTGTGCATCACTGGTATCCGTGTTCAGAGAGGACGTGAAGTAAGAAAAGGTGTGGTCTTCTATTCTCGAACCCTAATTACGTACCTTAAAACTTTTGATGAGAGCTTGACAAAGGAGAAGAGCAGTACTATAATGACAAAATGGGAAAACAAGGTAAAATGAAGAGCATATGTAAGAACTTTCACACATTTAATCAAATTACAACTGAAGGATTATGCCAAGGCTGTGTATGAGCAACAAAAGGAGATACCAAATGTGTGTAAGTAGTGATGTTAATTTTGGTTCACAGTCATAGTTGTATGTCCTACGAGGTTTTCAGTATACCTTTGCTGTTCAAATGTCGAACTCATTTAAAAGTATAATGCTGACTGGAGAGTCCTCTCTGGTTCTAACAAGTACTTTTTCGTTAAGCCCATTGAATTAGCATTCGCGAGTCTTTCAATTGCCTCTTATCATGCGAATAAAGGGGGCATTTTTAGTGGATCAAGATTAATGGTATAAATATTGGTTTTCATTTAGACTAATTCAATTGCCTCTTATCATGCGAATAAAGGGAGCATTTTTAGTGGATCAAGATTAATGGTTTAAATATTGGTTTTCATTTAGCCTAATTCATTTAACTATAAAAACCTATTTTAGATTTCGGAAACAGGCAGTGCTGTATCCTTAATGTTGCTTTTGATGTGTATGACTGAGCAATTACCTAGCTCTTAATCCTTACAAAAGTATGTTCAATATATTTGGTCATTTTGAGTTCAAAATTGCGCTTGTAACTTTGATTTTTTTTTTTTTTAAAGTTTGAATGGGTTTGTATCCTCAACTTATTAAGTATCCATAGTTTTGAACAATGTTGCTTTTGATGTGTATGACTGAGCAAGTACCTAGCTCTTAATCCTTACAAAATTATGTTCAATATATTTGGTCATTTTGAGTTCAAAATTGCGCTTGTAACTTTGATCTTTTTTTTTTTTTTTTTTAAATTTTTGAATGGCTTTGTATCCTCAACTTATTAAATATCCATAGTTTTGAACAATTGGACATGTGAAGATGTTTGTATTATAAGCAGTAAACACTATTCTAGTAGTAAAGTTCGTACTCTTGGCCCATCTCTCTGAATTTGAGCAATACAATTTGGAGCAGAAACATGTTGGTCACTAAACTACCCATCCGTTTTAGGCATATAGCAAAATGCTATACAAAACCTCGTTTGGTCTCAGAATATTTGAAAAAGGCATAGTTAAGTGGTCCTTTAGGCTTTCTTTTTTCCCTACGTAATTTTGCCATCAGCACTTACTGTTGTATTGGTGTCAAGAAAAAGGGTTGAAAGCAAGAAAGTAGAAGTGGAGACAGTTATATCAGGGTGATCAATGGTGCTGATTGGATGATTAGGAATAAAACTGTTTAATGGAACTTGAACAGTGTACTTTAAGAATAAAAGGATTGTACTGATATAGGTGACTGACAGGCCTTATAGCTCGGTGATTGTTTGTTATGCTTTAGACGTCTGGACTATGGTTCAAAAGTTTATGATGAATAAATATTTATGAGAATGATGCTTAAAAAGTTAATGAGATTTTAGAACTTTCTTAGAAGATAATTTTGTAGAAGGCCAAAAAGGAAACCATCAAATGTTGGTTTCTCACACTGCGATGCGACTTCTTGTGTGGTATCTACGAAATGATTACAGTTGCAGAATCCCCTTTTATTAATCATTTTTGGTATTTATATTTCCCTGTTTTATATTTCATAGGACCACACTTCTTCATGTGAGAATTGGAAACAAGCAAGTTAGAGGAACAGGCCTTTTGCCAGTTAATGCATGTGTGTGAAGTGAAAGTGGGTAACCGCTGGTTGTGAAGGCAAAATGAGCTTGGTCACACCAGCCCCCTTGATTTTGAGTTTGGTGATCTTAGATTGAGAATTAAGCCTAAGATGTGAAGTACTCTTTCCAATTTTTGGTGCCCTGAGAGCTATAGATTGCTTTAGGTGCCCTGAGAGAGAGATACCAAGAAAATCATAATGCCGTAAATCATCATAGCTACAAGTGTTGAGATTCTGATTTACTTTTGGCTTGCCATTTAATAACTTGAGGTTGAAAGCCCCTTTCAGCAAGGGTCTCAGCAGCCAGCCAGAGGAACTATCAATATTATGAATTGTGAATTGGAACTATCAATTGATACCACACAATTTATGATGGTTAGAAGTGAGAGTTTGCTGTCTGTCTGTTTGATTTAGTGTATACTCGTGCAACTCGAGTACTTATTTTTCAGGGAAAAAAACAAAAAAGAAAGATGAAAAAGGATTAGCTAAGGCCAATTTCCATCTGGAGGTGAAAAGATGAGATGTCTTTGGTTGTTCTTGTTGAGCTTTTTGAATAAGATCATGTCATTTTTGAATTATCAACGTGCCTTATTCAATGAAGAATTGGGGTAATACATTTGAATTTGTTCAGGAGTCGACATGTTTTGATTAAAAATCTAATATCTTCAATAATTCAGGATTAGTATTTATACAAAATTGTGATGAGGGTGACGCAAGGAGTCTTTATATGATGATGCAGTTCAGAGTTCCCCACTTTGACATTCTCGATTTATAATATTATTTAAACTAGGCTAACTGCATGGTATTTTTCATAAGAATCTTGCATCCTATCGGGCTTGAGGCTAAATGTCAGAATATCTCATTTGAATGGTATGTGGTCCACTTCAATTTAACATTGTTTATCAGAATGTTCAACTTCAATTCAGCACTATTATCAGATTGCTGCTATGTGTACATCCATTCGCACGAATATGCTTCTCCATCTAAACGGGGGTAAGTTAAAAGTTTTGCTTTCTAATCTTGTGCAGTTGGAGAAGGAAGCCCTTGCTAAAGGAACCCCAATAGGACAAGCTCTTGATATTGAAATTCCACCTCCCCGTCCCAAAAGGAAACCATGTAATCCATATCCTCGAAAGATGAGCATTGGTCTGCCTACTTCCCAGGTGGAATCAAAGGATGGAAAATTAGGGAATCCAAGTTCTTCTCTGCCCCAGGCTGAACACATACTAGATCTGGAGAAAGAACCAGCTGCTGAGGTATTTACTTTGCACGGTATTATCTCTTTTCAGTATTTATTGAATTATAAATCATCATCTCGGGTTTTATTGGTTTATTTGCCTGTCAGACATTATGAATTTTTTTCCTATTTACTGCATTTATGTCAGAAACCTGAGGGTGAGAAGTTTGAAGATGCTAAGGAAAATCATGATGAGGGTGAATCCAATAAATGTTTCAACCTTCTCCAAGCATCTCCTGGTATCTCCCCATCTTCAGCAAACACATGCTCCTCAACAATGGCTTCAGGAAAATCGTCTGTCCTTAAGGAGTTCGTGCCAATTTTCAATGAGGTGGTCAATAGGGATGAAACTATTGAATCCTATGTTACTGTTGAAGCCGGACCAAATCAGAATTCAGACAAATTTTATACCATACAGTCATTTGAGGAGAATGGCACTTGTAACAGCAGAAATTGGGCAAATGCACACTCTTTAAATGATAAACCGGCTCAAAACAAAGGAAATGTACCGGAACAATCTGAAAATATTGACACCTCGCCAAAAAATGGTGTACAATCTCCGAAGAGCCAACCCAGACATGTTGCGGTGCACATTCTTGATGGGAGCTTAAGAATGAATGCTCCGAATGTTTCTGCCCATATGCCATATGAGGAATCCTCATTTCATGAGATCGGTGGGGTTAATTCAAACATATTCTCTACTCTTTCTTCATCTGCTACATCTCAGCATCAGAGCAGTGCATCCAGGTTTTCCATTAGCCAGCCATTTGTCGGTTTCAATCCTATCTGGACTCCAGTCCATCAAGAAGATTACCATTCATTCCTGCATGCGTCCTCTACCTTCTCAAATCTAATTGTATCTGCTTTATTACAAAATCCAACGGCTCATGCTGCAGGAAGCTTTGCTGCTAGTTTGTGGCCATGCTCAACCACAGAAGCTCCTGTGGAGTCACCTGGAGGAAGTACAGGAGGATTTACAGCAAGACAGATGAATGCAGCTCCAAGCATAACATCAATTGCCGCGGCCACAGTGGCAGCTGCAACTGCATGGTGGACAGCCCATGGGCTTTTGCCACTTTGTGCTCCATTTCACATGGGTTTAAACTATGTGCCTGTTTCAGGCTCCGCAGTTCCTGCAGTTACCAATCAACCAAGAGTTGACATTACTGAAAGAAGAGAAGAAATCAGTGGTCCTCCCTTGGATGCTAAACATCTGGAACCAGAATTTTCTGAAGCTCTGCAAGAGCAGCATTCAACCTCAAAATCACCGACTTTGTCATTGTCAGATTCTGAGGAAAGTAAAGGTCTGAATTCAAGTAATAAATCAACTGCTAAAAAAACTGATAGTGCAGCAGTGACTGATGTTAATGATTCAAACAAGCCAAAGGGTAGGAAACGGGTAGACCGCTCTTCATGTGGATCAAATACACCTTCGAGCAGTGAAGTAGAGACAGATGCTTTGGAGAAGCTTGAGAAAGGAAAGGAAGAGTTAAGGGAACCTGTTGTAAGTCAGCCTATTGCTGATTCTAGCGGTCGACGAAGTAGAAGCTCCAGCAGTACAAGCGATTCTTGGAAGGAGGTTTCTGAGGAGGTACTCAAATTCCCCTCTTTGTGCTCGACTCTGTCACTTTATTTGCTTTTCCTTTTCATATGTGCTTTTGTTTTGCTCACTTTGTTTGCAGGGCCGGCTGGCTTTTCAGGCTCTATTTTCCAGGGAAGTACTGCCACAAAGCTTTTCTCCTCCACATGATTCAAAGAATAAAGGAAAGAACACTAATGAGAAAAATAAGGATAACGCAGATGAGAAAGGTGACGAGGGATATCTGCTAGACCTCAATGGGAAGATGTGCATGAATTCTGCCATTGATCAAGAATTGGAGAATAATTCGAGTTTAAGATGTTTAAACATCACGGAAGGGGACTACTGACTACGGGAAAACTGAAAGTGCGTCGGACAGGATTTAAACCTTACAAAAGGTGCTCTGTGGAGGCCAAGGAGAACAGGTTGGTATGTGCTGGAAGCCAAGAAGAAGAAAAAGGTACGAAGAGAATACGGTTGGAGGGTGAGGCTTCCTACTCATTGAACATGCAACACAGATGACAAAGATCTTTGCATGTTTCAGAGTGCAGCATGTTATTTGTGCTCTTAATTGCTTCTCATAACCTAATTTTGAATTTTTCAAGTCTAAAATTGCTGAAAATCAGAAGTATCTATTTTGGTGCTTTTTTTAATTGCAATTTCCTAAAACCAACCACCTTTTACACAATCGAGAATAAGAGACCACCTTCTTGATTTTAGGAATGAATAAAAATGGCCAACTAATGACCTAGTTTTAGTGCACAGTTATGGAATCGAATTGGAACAACACCCAAAAAAAAAAAAACAACCACAACTTCATTATGGGTTTTTTTTAATCTATACCCTCTCTCTAGGCACAAGATAATATATTTTACTAAAAAGATAAGTTGGGTTCATTACAGAACCTCTAAAATTAGAACCCATCCTCTAATTTGCATCTATGCATTCGCTCGACAAATATTTGTATTTTCACAGAAAAAAACTTGATACAAAACCCACTTTTTTTTTTTTTTAATCATTTGTGCCCTTAGTAGGACTCTTAATTGTAAAATGTACGTGCTCATTTTATCTTGAACCTGTAATATCTTTTATGTATTACATTTATGTGAATAGAAAATTTAAGTTAGGAGAAAAAGAAAATTCAATCAAAAAAAAAATCGTGCAGATGAATCAACATTCATACATATATATAGAAAACGATCGAGCACTAGAAAATGAATTTCAGGCGTACTAGAAAACGAGCACACTCTTGTTGGAAAATGATTACTTCAATGATGGTTAGGTTGGTTTCGACCCATGAAGAAACTTGAGCATGCACGATGCAGTGTTCAAGAGCAAAAAGTGATATATGTGTGTATGTATATACGTACTACTTACTGATGACATAACCTTCGGCCCGTATGTTCCAACTTTTTTGGACGCACGCACAGGAGGATTGAGAGGGACATTACTTTAAAATTATTAGGCGGAGCCCCAAGAATATGACAGCGGTAATGTATAATTGTATTCACTTGATGTTATAGGCAATTAGCTAGCAACTTGCATGTAAATTGTACTAAGCTTTTGATTTAACAACACTGTTTGTTTGTGTCAATCCTTTGCAGCTAGCCCGAAGAAAAAATGCACTATCACGAAGGGCCTAAGATTAGTACCATGCGTTATTGATTCGTTCTTAGCAGTATTTTATGAATATAAGTTATATGTATATATATATAATTAATTTTATATACAGTATATACACTATCATCATTAGATGTGTGACGCATGTGCAAAATTTAAATTTAAAATTTGTTCATGTGTCATCCATTCAATCGTAATAGTGCACATATATATATATATATATATATATATATATATAAAGTCATGTAACAGAAATCTTGATTGTAAACGATTTGGAAGGGTTAGATCCCAAGCCCAACATGGGGGCCGGGAAAATGTATTATAGCTTATTTTGAGGATGATAAGATGAAGTAGGATTAATGCACAAAGAGATGCGAGCCATCTTATGAATTGGGATTAATGCATGAATCGACGTGTTCAAAATGCTTTAAGTCAAACTTGTTACTTATAAATAAAGGTACTATTTATCAATTCAAAATTTTAACAATAATAATGTTACTCTCATTCATAAAACTTTACGTCCCCACAAAGTTCGAACCAGAGGTGGCTTATACATGCTCTTAAATTGACTCTAGCTCTTAGGTTGACGTAGCACTTAGTTCCGTCCTTCGTAACCTTTTTTTTTTTTTGTTTTTTATTTACAAAAAAATTATTGCCTTCATATCCATTTATTAATTTGAATAAGACGACCCTATTGGATGCATGACCTAGGTAAGCTTTACACCCTATTCCAATTCAAATGGAAAATTGTGACGCCCTATCCACTGTAACGTGTGGTCCTATAAAAATACTTAGTGTGTTGGCGTGATTTTATCTCTCTTAGTTATAGTTTTTCGTATCAGTAATTTAAATGGTAATCATATATATATATAATATGTATAATATATGTATGTATGTATTATAGGCACACGTGGATGCTACATTTCAACTCCCTAACACATTGTTGTCCTCCAGAATCTAGCAAAAACTCGACAACTTGTAGATCATTCCATTCGTTCTATTTTTCCTTATTCGTCCACTTGTAAAGCATAGAAGTATTCCTTAAATTTGTGCTCCACCGGGAAAACGAAGTGAAAAGTATAACATATAAAGAAGTATGTCATCAATTACAGTATTCATTAACAGGCCAGCGGCAACCATGGAACCGTTCCATTGGTCACCAATGTGCATTGGGTAATTGTTGCATGTGCAGATACATAATATCAAGCCCCCTCATTATTGTAAAGCCAAATGGTCGTCGCTGCAGGAGTTGACCAAGTCTGATTAGATTAATAGTAGGAAATTGGACGTTTGGAGGCTAATGATTTGCATCAGATTGAAATGACAAATTATTGGCACGTTAATTTGCTGTTTACATCCCGGAACCGGAGCCTGAGTGTAGGGCTGCAAAATGCTTGTGGCGACAATTATTGGGCGATTGTCTGTAGCAGCAGGTGAACGACTATAGGCTGCGCGTGCGTCGGGGGTTTATAATAGTCGATGAATATCAAGGGTTTAATTAATTAATTAATGAAGCTGCTGCAGCTGGTCCCCTCTTTCAGATTTTTATTTATTTATTTATTTATTCTGTGGACTGCTTTCGACACCCTGAATTGCCCCTTGGCCCTCGTCTCATAGCCCTGCCACTATCACCTATATATACATATATATCATATCCCTGTCGATTGTCAATTTTTGTCAAAAGGATTAGATGAAGAGAAAAAAAAAAAAAAAAAGTCATTAGTCATTCACATTATTTTAAAAGACATTGCTGAGGCGAGCCTCAAATGCCCCAAATTTTAGGGGCATTTTTGTAATTTTATTAATTTTGAATTTTTATTTTATCTTCCTTATCTTTGTTTCCTATCCTTATTATTATTTAATAATTTTGAAGAATGATTCCATTTATTTTTTTTCTGTGGAAATAGTTTTGAAAAAAAAATACAAAACAAAAGCATCTGTGACTTTGTTTTCTTTTTTTCTTTTCCTTTTCTTTGATCCCAAAATATAACTATTTTTTATTAACATGATTTTAGATGGCTAATGTATGAGTTAGAGTTGTGTTGTGATTTTACTTGTTAGACAACAATAATATTTTTGTAATTTCCTTAATTTTATCAATTTTTATATTTATAAGTAATATATATAAACACATATGTGCTTGAATATTGTAATTCTGTAGCATTATTGTATATTTTATTTTTTATATATTTAAAAATAAAAATTTTTGTGAGACTTACATCCCTTACCTCGGGGTTTTCGCTCCGTTTAGGAAGATATAAAATGGCACGTCAGATGCTCTCATCTTTTAAAACATTGGTTTGAATGTGTGTACGTCTATATATATATATATATCTTACTATAAGATAAACAAATGGTCATAGTTACTATAGCAGTCTCTTTTGCTGACACGTGGCATTTTGTGTGAATTTTGAACTTTCTCTTTTGCTTTCTCTATGGATTTGGAATCGTTTAAATGTGCTCAATGACCCAAATTATATTGCATTTACTATTTCGTTATAAGGTTGAATTACTTTTAGTAGACTTTTCAATCTGTACATTTTGAACAGATATAATTCAATTAGAATTTATATTTATTACTATTTACATTAACATTTTCAACTTATATTTGACAAATTAACTTAAGATTTAATTATTTCTGTTCGAGTCTTCAACCTTATCATTTAAATTTAATTTGTCAAAATACGTTATCATTTAAAGTTAATGTAAAGTAAGAGATTATTTAAAATTTATTCTATCTTATGATAAAGAACAAGATTATTATTTCTACTCAATGCAATGTACATTTCTCTGTGTCAATTTTATTTTGATTTGTTCCTGTTCAAATATTTAGCAACATTTGACTTTACGTTTATTCATATGTTTATTGTCTAAATTTTGAGCTTTCTCTTTTGCTTTCTCTATGGACTTGCATTTCTTTAAATGTGCTCAATGACCCAAATTATATTGCATTTACCATTTCTTTATAAGGTTGAATTATTTTGAGTAAACTTTTCAATCTCTATATTTTGAGCATATATAATTCAATTAGAATTTATATTTATTACTATTTACATTAACATTTCAACTTATATTTGACAAATTAACTTAAGATTTAATTATTTCTATTCGAGTTTTCAACCTTATCATTTAAAATTATATTTGTCAAAATAAGTTATCATTTAAAGTTAATGTAAAGCAAAAGATTATTTAAAATTTATTCTATCCTATTATAAAGAACAAGATTACTATTTTTGCTTAACGCAATGTACATTTTTGTGTGTCAATTTTATTTTGATTTGTTCATGTTCAAATATTTAGTAACATTTGACTTTATATTTTTTCATGTTTTTATTGTCATTTAAAGTTATATAGTTGAACTGACATTGCCACTTAATATATTCCAAGGAAAGAGACTCCTGTGCTTTGTTAAGAAAGCAACTCCAAGAGAAAAAACAATCAAAGAAACAGCTTTTACCATTATCACAAGCTATGAAGCGGAACAAGTCTGAGCCGGCCAAGAGACTCAAATGAACCTTCATAGTGATTATGCATAAAATTAGTTTCCAACAATATAATGCTTATGTGCTTCATAACTGAACTACTTGTGTTTTAATTTAATTATCTTGTATCTATTTATCGTTTATGTTAATGTACTTCGACTTAGCTGCTTTGACTTACTACCTATGTATGTTTTAATTTTGTTATCTTGTATTTGTCTATCCTTTATGTTAATGTACTTCAATTTAATCTCTTTTGCCTTGAAAAGCAAATTTACTGATAAGTTATAAATCCAATTCATATATAGATGTCCCTCTATCAAACACAAAAAACTTTTGCAAAAATGCTAACCATTATTAATCCTCCTGCTTTTCAATTTCTTTGCGTATATTTGCTGAACAAATTATACA